AAATATATCGCATATAGGTTAAAATATGATAATATTTTTTTGTGAAAAAAGCTCTTTATGAAAAACAGTTCGTGCCAGTTTTATTAGTTCCTCACCAGATCTTATAATACTTATACGAGTCAAACCTTCGCTTATTATGAAAAATAACACGTAAAAAGATGAGAACAATAGTTTGAATAAATTAAATATGAGCTCCAACTGGCGGACTATTTTAAACATAACACATAAATAGATTTATTCGATAAACTGAGTAAAAGGGAAATAGATTCAGGTAATAATTTATAAACGTTGAAATGCAAAATTGTGTAATAAAATTAAAAGCACTCATTCGCATTATCGAAATTTAATTGCTAGTTGGAACTGATTGCCCAATAATATTACTAAATGTTGCATGAAATCGAGGATGATTGCTAGTGTATCTATAAATATACGAAGAAAATAAAAAAAAGGTAAAATGCAGAGTAGGTATATACATATTGTATACGTATGAAATTATCTTTGCTTAAAAGAAAGCAGTAACTTTTAAAAACCATTTATACAAATTTAAAAATAAATGAAGTTAAAAATATATTACCATTTTATAATTTTCAGTTAGATCTATGTATGTAGATATATTTCTGTAAATTTTTAAAATACACTAAACTAATGCTAAAATTGTTTTTTATTATTTTTTTATTTAAACGCTTTTATTATTTCAGATATCGTTAAGACCTCAAGTATTGGTATATACTTAATACTTATACATTTAATCTCATTTTTTGATTGAAAAGGCCTCAAAGCAGATTGAAAGGAAACATTCAATATATCACAGGCGGGTCCCCAAATAAATTCCCCAATACCGAGTGAGGTTGTTTATTGAAAGACTTTCTTTTCAGATATTTAATATCAAATACGGCTATGAGCCGTACATCATTTATCAACATTTCCTTTGAATAAAACATTAAATATCACCGTATTGATGTGTAGTTAAGATACTTATTGAAATCATTAAAAAAAGTCGTATATTGTAACGTGTGTGAATACTCATCGTTTCAAGTTATATATTGTGACTTCTTGTTTTCTTCTGCTATGTTCTATAAAGTCAAATGAAAAGCTTTCATTATCAAGCTTAATATGTCAAGCTTCGATATTTGGTGAGTCATACAATCTTACCTTAAATAAAGTTAATGGTTTGCTGCTTTTGAATTTAGAACAACTTTCATTTTTTTATTTAACAAACTTAAAATGAGTTTGACCAAAAATATTAATTTTATACAAATTTGAGCATCCCTATCCACACCCTTAGAGTTTAACTCAAAAGAAAAACCTTTTTAAGTGGCAACCTATGTCACTGTTAAAATTTCATGTCACTAAAAGTTCGGCCTAATAATTCAGTTAGAGCAAGAAGCTTTATAATATATAGACCCGTTAAAATATTACGTCAAACTTACTTAAATTCTTGAAAGACTAAGGCTACTCAGTCTTTTGAAAATAAGATGTTGTACCAAGTTACAACTTAATAAATAGCCCTTTCAAAGACCCTGAAGCGTACAAAAAGGTAACGAAGCGCTTTGAAACTTTGTACGTGTCTAAGAAATCGGATAAGTTAAAATTAGTTACCGCTTCTTTTAAAATACGATTTGCTATTGTACATTATAATATTACGTTTTTGTACAAGCTTTCATAGTAAATTACTAAATGAAATATTTCTGTTCATTTTAGAATTTGGTATTCATTTAGTATTTCGTTTTTATTTCTCGCAATTCGTTAAAATGTAAATTTTGTAAAAAATAGATAATAAAAAGTTTGGCACAATTGTGGGAGCATGAAAATTGTATCATATTGTGCCATAAATATAAAATATTTTAATCTTTTTATTATTTCTATAAAATGTTTATATATTGCATAAAAGACTTAATTGATGTCATTGTTATTTTGCTTAACTTATTTCTTTGCTGAGAAGAAGACACTTTGAGGGGTTAAAAACTTCATATGATAAAGTATAATTTAATATTTTAATGTCATATCTACAAAGATAAAGTTATCTAAAAGTAAATCCACTTTCAGAAATTGGGATGGGAATCGTATTGAAATGGCTTGCGTGTTCTCGCATTCACAAACTCAATTATTATATCTGTTGTTTTATGATGAGAAAGGATCTCTAGGAACTCGATTACGCGGTTTCCATTATAATATTTAATATTATTAACTTTTTCTTCTCATTGAGATAGTCCTGTAATACTTTTAGTGGCGTACTATTTTATTACTTTGCTATTTTTAACATCTTTATATTATAACCTTTGAATTCACATTGGACTTAAAATTTATATTTTTGGCCGTACTTAATTTTTAGGGTTCCGTACCCGAATGGCGCCATATATATATATATATATATATATATATATATATATATATATATATATATATATATATATATATATATATATATATATATATATATATATAACAACAAATAATAAAAGTAAATAAAATACAAGAAACATTTTTTTTACGTACGTCTTCGATCAACAGTGGTATTGTCGATCGAAAACGTACGTAACCGATCATAGAAGTTAATTAATCGAACAAATAAAATGAAGAAACATAGATACATACAGTAAAAGTTATATTAATAAAAAGTACATACATTCGCCACATGGATGACGGTACAGACAAATTATACTGTAACATGTAAATATTATGTCAGAATACTATTCAGAAAAGATCTGCTAATGAGAGGGTTTTAAAAATATCCTGCAAGGATATAAGGAGCTTCCATATGAAAAAACGAGAAGCTTATATTTTAACTTGAATGTAAAACTTTTGAAGCGGATTATATATATATATATATATATATATATATATATATATATATATATATATATATAACCTTTGACTGAAATAGTTAAAATTATATACTTTATAGTTGTCGAGGTACAGTCGTCCAAACTAAAGATCCTTCTATAAAGGCATTGGTATTAGGTTCGATATTTATAGGGTGTAATTATTAAAATTGTTAATGTAGATGCTTATCTCGGTTTATGTAAGAACAAGAATAAAATGTGCCAATATCACTTAACTCAGGATTATTAGACGTTTACTCTATTTATGTATCGAACATCTTACAAGAAAAGAAGTTAAAATCTATACATCTAATAAAATAGTAAAATAACAAAATTTGTACATGAAATATTTTTCATAACCAATGTTCAGTTCATATAGACCCCACAACAATAGTTGTGGTGTGAATGTATGTTTGTCTGTAGATGTGTTTGCTTTTACGCTAAAAGTACTTACTGTTCATCCCCACGGAAAGACACAATAACTGGTTCTATCGAGTCGTTCTTCGTAATTTACATGGCTAACGCTAGCTAAACCTTAAGAAATGAATCAAAACAGTACACTAGAAAATTGTAGGTCTTCTATGTACGTATGTATATAGTAAAAGACTCAGAATAATTATTTTTATAGACTTAGAGATCCCAAGATCACAATCACATCACTAGATCACCCAAGTGAAAGCGAGGGAAGTCGCTAGTATACACACAATATGTTTAGTTACGAAAATTCCCTAAGAATTTGATTCTGTTCTTTGAACCATTTCATTCTTTATGAAGTAGCAAAGCAGCAAAAATAGTACAACTACTACATTTTCTTAAAGAAAATAGTTCAGAAAATTTTCTAGAATAAAGGCAGCAAAAGTAGGTAAACTTTTGTAGCAATTCGCTACACAGAATAGGTCAGATAGATAGATCAGGTGCTCGCAAAAGGGATTAGTTATTTTCCACTTTCCACCAGAATCGGAAAGAAAGTTCGATTTGGCCTTAAAAGTTATTCACATTAGGCGATTTGATTTGATATTTTTAAATCATTTTTTTACAAATTCTTGGATTTTTTTATTAAAACATTTCTCTTCCACTCATTTCTTTGACTTAACTCATTCGACTTAAAAATATATATTGTTGTTTTTGTATAAATTAGGCCAATAAAAATGGCGGTTTTCAGGGTTGGTGGCTTAAAACTTAAAATAAATGAAAAGGTACTGATATATATTTAAAAATTAACATAAAAATTATTAGAAAAGTTTGAAATAATTTTGTTCGATTCTTTTACTACGAGTAAATGCAAATTTCATACTAAAAACATAATTATATAAACGAAAAGCTTAAAAAGTTTTATTATTTTCAGGAATATTTTTGCCTAAAACTTTGTTAACCATCGTGAAATTGAATAAAACACACCCGAGTTTGTCGTTCAGCTGTTACCCACATACATATAATTTAAAATTTACTCTAAGCGGCTATTTTGGGTTAAAGTGAGGTACATATAATATCGTAAATATTTCAAGGACCACAGCTTTTATACGTTATTATAATGTCTCAGAACGAGTAATGTATACGTATATAATCTGTTTATTTATCGAGACGCAGTTTTAATTTACTTTAAGCCCGAAAAATATTATTTTAACTTTACAAAGTTTTAAGCTGTAGCTCTTTATATTTATTTTCTTTTTATTGTTTTAGCGGAAGGTGTAAAAAACTACCGTGTACACAGATGTACGTTGTGATAAATGGCGGTACACACATAATTGCTCTCGGTACTCTATCGAGGTTCCATAAAACTCAGATAACCCACTTAAATCAATCGTAAGCGTTTATATTTATCCCAAACGGGATTTGAATTCACAATCTATAAAAAAAAGTTATTAGGCAATTATAGGGTATTAAACATATCTTTTTCTTAATATTAATTAATCGCTTACCAAAAATATAAATAAGCGAGGAAATGTTACAATTAATTTATGAATAAATATTAAAACAGTGAGTAAAGAGTAGTTCAAACACCGGCTCGTTCGCGTGCTTAAAATGTCACAATCTGTGCCCAAAATTATGTAAACATAAAAAAAAGAATATAGGTAATGTGTGATCAATAAATATTGGAAAAAATATTGAAACAAATATATTTACTATATACATATTTCCTTTTGTGTTATAGAATAATCAATTTTTGAAAATACTCACGTGTACAATGTCTCGGTTCATCCGACGCGTCGCCACAATCGTTGCTGCCGTCACAAAATCGATTAATCGGTATACATTTCTTATTAAAACACTGATACTCAGATATTCGGCATTTACTATCATTCGCGTGTAAAACTGGCAGTGGTTCTGGTTCTATGATGTCCTTATATCCAGGACTGTCTTTTTGGTACACCGTTCTTGGTATTTCACTGACTACATCACCATCGATTATATTTATTGTAGTTGTGATAATTATTCCAATAATTATAGCTTTGACATCAATATCTGAAACAAAAACAATAAAAATGTTTAATAAAAAAGTAAAAAAATGATTCAATAAACAGTTTTGGTTTTCTGTATTCCTAAATATGTGCAAAGTAATATCATGATATAGTTTATGTTATTGCAAAAATATCTATTATAGTAAAAACATATTGTTGTTAAAAAAACATTTCGTAAAATGTTTACAGGTACAATACGTATTAGTTCTACAATTTAAAAAAAAGTACACAGTAAAAAATTACATATAAAATATTTATTTGTATGTAGGCATATCTCCGGAAGAAGCGTGCCGATTTTATTTATATTTGTAGAAGTGTTAACATTAACAATCTCTGAAGCCAGTAAGCCTAATGTAACCAGTATTATAATATGCATGCAATTTAGTGAAAAAGTTCAAAATCTCAATTCTATTGAAATAATTTCTTACATCATCCAATCTATAAAAAAAGTAATTATTCCAATATAAATATTAGCAAAGGCACCAAATTCGAGAGCAAGTAACATTTCTTACAAATTGAATCTAAGTCAACACGACTAGCTGGCTCATCAAGGCGAAACGGAATTTACTGGCATTTTTCCATTGGAATTAAGATTGACATCAATTTATCACAGAAAATTGGAAGAAAAAAAATAAATGATTTTTAAATTCAAGTTAGCTTTATTTATTTGCCAATCTCCAATATTATTACGAAATATATAATTTCCCATTTCTTTGTTTTCCCGTCTTTTTACGTCAGGTCTTTTTGGTTTGGTCTTTTTACGTTAAATGCATTTACGCCCACCACTTCTCTATGTAGGTGGTTATAGTGACTTATCGACTATCGAAATACTATCGGAAAACTAACTGCCAGCACTACCCAATAAAAAATTTCCGTCATAATGCTGCAGTATTATAACAAGAATCGTTTTCACTTTCGACCACAATGCACGGACAATTGGCCTGCAGAGATCGACCTCCTGAGTAATACAACTGGCTACCCCCTGACCCTGGGCTTCTTTAAATCGCTTGATCCTTTAATAGGGTAATTTTTAATAATGTTTTCTTCCTGTCCGTCCATAAAAACAAGGCGCGATGTGCATGGGGCACCATCCGTAGCACACTGAGATAAACCACCTTCAGTGCTTTTTTCCCTATCCGACCTATATCATTCTAACATGATGTTAAAGATTAAGTAAAAATAATAAAACCAAGCAAAAAATTGTAATCCGTTATCATAGAATTTTTATGCCTACTATCTGTAGATGTGACTTTATTGGTTTACACGAGTATTAAGCATTAAGTATTAACGACGTAGTTTTATTACGGTACAACAAATCAGTCGTAAATTGAATATTTGTTTACGACCCTGTAACTGACAAAGTCAAGACTAACACAATGTTATATATTACCTATTATATGTGAATGAAGCCACGTAATATGTGATATAATAATATAAATATTTTGTCAGTCAACCCTTACACGTCTTGAGCTTTAAAATGACAATTGTGATTTTAATATTATGTTCAAAGTGAGCTGATTCTATGACATACTTATACTGAACTGTGCAACTCATGTCTAGAATAACTTAAATTAAATATTTTTTGGAATTTTTTGAAACCCTTAGCGGGCTTAAAGATTTTATATATTTATAATAAGCTTTTTTTTAATGTAATAAAAAATATAATGATGAGGTTCTCCTGACCGATTCCGGCCACGGCGGCCAATCTCATTAAGACTAGCCAATAGCGCAAGAGATATTATAGTACACAAGTGTACGCGCAGACACAACATGCACTCTCTATTCCTGTCACTCCCATACTCCGGTGGGACAACTACTTGACACGACCGGTGAGAGTTAAGGCGCAGGACCGACGGCTTTACGTGCTCTCCGAAACACGGGGGTGAAACACCGCCAACTTCCCAACTCCGAGCTGTTACTGAGGCCTACTATACAAAAAGACTCAATAACTAAACTTGGCCCAACCCGGGACTCGAACCCAGGACCTCCAGGTGTGCAGCCGTACATGCTAGCCACTACACCACCGCGGCAGTTATAAAAAAATAAAATTAAAACTATATAGACTTTTAGGTCTGTCTGGTCTGTTGAAGTCATTTGCATTGTAAAATTTGAAATTATGTTTTAAAAATAAAAAACGGATTCTAAAATCTGCATAATATCATTATTAAAGCTGTTCAAAATCAGAATTCCGCTAGACCCACCCACAAATATCAATATGCTTTATTTTACGTCAATAGTTTAGGGTTAAACATATTTTTATTTGAGACAATAATTCAACATTAAGGACTAACCTTACAATTATGATGCTACATAGACTTGTTATAGAAAAAAACTATTCTAAACAGGTCTTCCAGTACAAGTTATTAAATTAATAAATCATGCATGGCTAATTTGTAATTTTTACACTAACCATAAAAAAATCCTATGAAAAAACTATACCAACTGTTAATCAGACTCTCAATACATTCTTACATTTACGCCAATATTTGATACTAGCTGTACCCCGCGGATTCGATCGTTAAATTTGTTTGATTATAATAATAATAATAATAGTAGCTTATAACCTTCCTCAATAAAAAGGGCTATGTTACATTTTTTCAAATCGGATTAGTAGTCATGAGGACTGCTGACAGAAGTGAAAACATAAAACTATAAACAAAAAGTTGTTATTTTTGGATATTCAAATTAATTTTTTGATCTGAAATTAAAATTTGTAAATTAAAACTGTTTACATTTATCTGGTTTTGACATCGATCGGCACTCTGAGTGTTAGCGTTATCTGCTCTCTGCACGGGAGATATTACAGTGCACAGGTGAATTTGTAAACACAAGTGCACTATTTATTCCAAGCACACTCAAAGTCCTGTGGGATTTTGATTTAGACGGAAGGAAGATTAGACCGACCTCGCTACGTGCTCCCCGAGCTACCGCCAACCTTATAATTCCGTTACTGAAACTAACAAAGGCTGGCTGCTGAAAATTTCTTGACAAAAAAGTTCGATCGATTCGATCCGGGGTTATTTTTTTATATGGGTGTTCTCTTTCTTAATGTATACGTGCGTATTGTGTGCTAGGAAAACAACTCTCTTCGAAGTTCACTCTTTTTGGTTGTTAAGTTGGATAAACCTTGATCCCCCATTTCTCATATGTCAAAGGAATTTTATGACAAAATACATTTTATGCAAAACATGAATAATTTGAATAATTTCAGAATAGAACTTGTTAAAATTAATTGATTGTAAAAGTTATTTATACAGTCGTAAATACGATTTCCCTTTACTTACCCTATTGTTTTCATTGTAGAGCCCGATATCCTGATTCTATTTTAGAGGACATTATAACGAGCGATATTATTTGGACTATGGAGGTTTCTAGAGGTACCCGATACATTGTCCTGACGTGAGTTAATCAAAACATACAGTATGTAATTTATTCATAATGTCTATTTACTGTAACAAAATACAGGTTTTAATTTCTACTTGTCTAAAGCTATCAAATATAAAATTTGAAAAATAACCATCTATATCTTGATTCTTATAATTTACAATCTACAAACAAACATACATACATAATATATTTTATTATAATATACAATACAGACCACAGATCGTTATATAAAAACTTTTTCGCTAAGCTTTTAATGAAGACAAACTATTCATAAAAGTCGATTAGAAAAACGCTTATGAAAGCTTCCTCGTGATTTCACAAAGTTTCGAAAGCATTTGTAACATTCACTGAGTTACATAAAAGTTGGTTAATATTGCGGTACTGGTATTAAAACAACGCGGCTAGTATAATACTAAATAGTAGGTTTAAATAATTTCCACGACCCGAATACCGAAGCTCGAATAACAAAATATATTACATTCTTCCTAAGCAAAACCAATGTGTGACACCACAAAGCCTATTATAGGTAGATAATAAATTTCGTCCGAAGAAATTTTCCTTAAAGATGTTATGCTGAAAATTATGTATCAAAGTAATAAATATGTATTTCTAATCCAGAATTTTACCTTTTTGTTAAAGAAATATTTGATGAAAAAAACATCATATAATATACATTATATGATGTTTTATGTAAATAATAATTTTCTTATGTTTTCTTATTAAATTATTAAAGCTGGACGTGACCACGACCGCGGTCAGCAGCGATCAACTAAACACATTTTCTTTTATTCAATGCGCACTGCGCCATCACGACAATCATAAACCTAAGTAGTTGGTCGTTACTACAATATAGTTTCGGTCTCATTACTATTGTAAAAGTAAATCTGCTCATGATATTATGACGTGTGGTTCATTTTTAAATTCAAAGATTGAAAGTTTTATTACCGTAAGGGCTTATGTACACAACATTTTATAAATGCACCAACGTAGGGTGTATCAAAACGTACGTATTCTTTGCGTATTCTGTACACGTATTGTAAACGCGCCAAGAACGTGCGTATCATGAATATACTTTACACTGTGTATTCTGCGTGTTTATCACTTCCTTTTGTACTTATATGTAGATACAAACGCGTGACAAGCGTGCGTTGATAGACCAAAAGCGCGTTAGACGCATGTCAGAAAATCGTCGTGTGCATGTGCCCTTAGACCATACTGTCGCACATTTGAAAGTGTTGAATTTCTTTACATTAAAATAGCAGCCTAAATCGCGCAAGATTACATATTACTTAAATGGCTGTGTACTAAAGACAATTACAAAAAACTAGTGATGACATCTTAGGGTTCATATTAAGATAGTTCTTTGGTCTGCGTACTTGGTGATTATTTCTTTTTATATTATTTAGATATAGGACAAACATCTATATGGTTAATCATTAATTCCTCGTTAGTTTGATACTAATTGATGACCCCTTAATTTTCTAGTATATATAAAGTCGCTTGTATTAATAAATAGATGTGGAAACTCAATCTATATAGCAGATGTAAACAAACGGATGATCTCTATTAATCAATGATTGTAGCGTTCTACTCTTTTCCCTTCATAACTAATGTATA